GAGCTACTGAATGCCAGGAGGAGCTCTGGCTGAATGCTCCGGTGCCACTCAGCCCTGGGAGCTGCCCCAGTGACTCTGACTGTCCCCTTTTCACAGATAAGGGAGCTGGGCGGCATGGGGCTCATGCTCAAGGTCGTGTGGCAGTGGAGAGACTTGGGTCCAAGCCCTCACCCAGTGTGTCCTGCTGCTTCCCCTGCGGGTCTCACCTGTGCATCTGGGGCTCACATGTGCACTGTCAGGCCAGTCTCTACCCAAGGGTCAGATTTCACTTGCTCCATTGTTGCAGGGTGAGTGAGGCCCTGTTCTCAAAGCCGTCAAACCTGGTGGGGCAGCTGCGACTCACAGAAACACCGAGATGTTGAAATGCTCATTAATTCCCTTCTGTCTCGTTTCTGGTGTGCTTAGTCCCTGGCTCAGGCCTGGCAGCAGAAAGTTTCTAGATGAAGACTCTGGTAACGCTCCTGCTGACTGCCAGGAGCGTGAGAGGAAGAGAGTACTGCTGGGTGGCCCGTCCGGGCGGGGGCAGAGCAGCGGAGGGGGAGGTGGGGTGGGGTGTTCAGACCCAGCTGACGTGCTAGAGAACTGTTCAGAGGCATTTTCCCAAATCCCACCCTTGGGGTTATGCTGCAGGATTGGACCTTTCTTCAGGAGGCTCAATTCCAAATCAAATCATTATATATCAAATATCTCTGCCACCTGCCCGCTCTTTAAATATCCACATTGCCTCTGTGGTTGCGGTGGAAGAGGAAGGCGTGGGGACGGGAAAGGGCACGTCAATCTCAGTTGTTGCATTTGGTGCCAGGTACAACAGAAACCAAGGGCATCTGAGCCCAGACGACCTTGGTAACTTGATCTCTCACATTCCATGTATTCCAGCCAAAGAAATAAACACCAGAGTGTAATGTCTAAGAGACACTGAACACTTTTGATTTATGGAATGCTTCCACAGGACCTGAGCCTCACTGCAGACTTCACAGGTGGGGTGAGCCATTTGTCTGAGGTTCTCCAGTTAGTACTTGGCACAGCCAAGATGGGGACCTGGACCTTGGGGAGGCCCCAGAGTGTAGCAAGCACTTCGGCGTTCTGTGGACCCGGGTTCTTGCCGCGACTCTGCCACTAACCAGTTTTGTGGTCTTCTCTAGGACTCACTTTCTTTAGCTTTTAAATGGGTATAATCAGAATCTGGTCTCATCAGGATCTTATGAGGGAAGAGGGTGTGATGCATAATAAGAAGAGCTTGGCAGAGTACCTGGCACAGAGGATAGCTAGCTGTTAGTACTAGTCCAGTTAGAAACGAATCTGGCTACAATTATTGCAGCAATAAAGCAATGGTTGACTTAAACAAATGGTAGTTACCTTTCATACACAATAAAAAGTCAGAAGGCAGGCAGCCCCAGGCTGGCCAGGAGCAGAACGATGCCATTAAAGGCTGTTTGGCTTCCTTCAGTCCATGCTGCTCTCCACAGAGTGCTGGTTTGCTGCCTCATGGTTGCCGTCCCAGCCCCATCCGCCATGCCTGTGGGGAAGAGGTGTGGTAGCAGTTACGGTTTCCCCCTTCGTAAGGAAAGCAAAAGCTTTCCCAGAACCCCACCCCACACGCAGTCCCAGCAGGCATCTGCTTTTGTCTCTTTGGCCTGGACTAAGTGCCCTGGCTGTCCACAGCTGCAGGGGCCACTTAGAAAATGAGCTAATGCAAATGACTAGTTAATGGGTGCAGCACACCAACAGGGCACACGTATGCCTGTGTAACAAAGCTGCACGTTGTGCACATGTACCCTAGAACTTAAAGTATAATAATAATAAAAAAAAAGAATTAAAAAAAATAGAAAATGAGCATTAGCTTTTCAGATTCAGTCATACAAGTGGCAAAGAAGAAGGCAAATGAGAATGGGAGGAGACCGATCACTTGGATTTGCCGCAGTCCTTCCTGCCTCACATTGTCATTTAAAAAATTTTTTTTCATTGGTCCTCAGGTGTATTGGGCCTAGTTCATCCTAGGCATGTGCTCGCAGCACATGAGCAGCTAGACTGTCTGCCTTTCCTGCTCACAAGTGTGTGCTGTACGTGCATCTCTTCAGTTTTTAAATGAAGCGTAACATAATGCATTAAAGTGCACAAGTCTTTGCTAGATGCCTCAAAGGATTTTTATGATTTATCCCCATGAAAGTACATTCAGATCAATCTATAGAACGTTCCCAGCATCTCAGAAACCTTCCCATTTCTCTGCTCTCTGTCAGTACTCTCTCCCAAGGTGACCGTTATTCTGATCTCTGTCCCCAAAGGTCAGTTTTGACTGTTCTTGGATTCCATTGACATGGACTTGTACGTTTGTATGTACGCTTCATGGGCCTGCCTCCTTTGACTGACCTGAGAGAGTTATCTGTGTCCCTGTGTGTGGCTGTAGCTCATCTGCTCTCTCCTGAACTCTGTCTCTCTACCCAGACCTGGTATTCATGGCGTTGTGAGAACCAGAGTAGCACAGAGATGGAGGTTTCCTGTTTCCGTTCACGGAGTGTCTTTTCCTCCTGGAAACCAGCCCCTCTGATTTCTTGCAGAGCTTGCCTGTGCACTGCCCTCTCCACACCAAGCTGCTACCAGAGGAATCTCTTGGGGACTTGTATGTTGGCTTTCAATGCTGTCAGCAGGAAGAATTTTCTTGAGCACTTCTTCATTTGGAGAGGATGGAGGAAGAGAGAGAGGGATGCTTTCGGGAAGGACATTTTTAGGCAAAGGAAAAAACAGCAACTGAAGGCGTCATTGGGAACTGGAGCCTGGAAGCCAGCCTTCTAGCAGAGATTTACATCATTCTTCTGCATTCCTGCCCTTCGAGCAGCGTCAATTGAGGGCTCAAGGGCAAAAGAGACTCACGGCAGCTCTGCTGTGCTGGGGCCGGGCTGCCTCCTCTGAGTCCACACTGACGCCTGGGGAATCTTCCTCCCCCAGACGGGGTGATGGGCTTTCCTTATCAAGGCTAGTGTGGCTTTCTTACAGAAACACGGCATGGCAGGACAAACCTGAGAGCAGTGAAAAAAGCTGATTCTTTTCAGGGGAGTCTTAAATGAAGATGAAATGGATTAGTTATTCTTACAAGTGTGGGCATGTAGGTAAGTCAGGGATCAAGTAGAAAAATGGAAAGTATGTAGTTAGCTCTGATGGCTTTCATCATCATCTTTCCTTTAGGTATCTGCTGACTCTGCCTTGTGTCTGCCGGGATAATGTCCCAGAATATTCAGCTAAGACCTAATCAGGGATCCTGTGTGCTCAAATGGAATAGTTTGTTAAGTTTAGTAGGTAATTTCTGTGTCCCCGGCCCTTGTTAGGGGCTTTGCGATGTATTATTTCAATTATTCTCCGCAGGATCTGGGAAGGTGGGTAGGATTATTCCCATTTCGCACGTGAGTAAATGAAGGTTAGTAAGTAACGGGTAGGAAGAAGGAAGGCTGCTAGTCTAAACTAGGTCTCATATTCCAAAGGCCGCGTACCTTCCGCACCACCACGCTACCTAACCCCTTACTTTTCCGATGCACCAACCCTCTTGTGGTTCCTTGCCTTCCTTCGCCTCCACACAGCGCTCCTCAGTGTGGATCCAGTGAGTGGCCGGTTGTAGAACATCCGAAAGCTGTACATACCTCCTCACTTATTCTGATTTTAGCTAGCTGTTGAAGCTGTACTGTAACACTGCACACATCTTTGCTAGATGGCTCAAAGGATCTGTGACATTTTATTTAACATATTTAAAATGTTAAAGCCATAGAGCCTAGTGGAAAAGATCTTCACGGATAATAAGGAGTCACTGGTTTCAGTCCTAATGTCACTACAAATCAAAACAAGGCATAAGACTGGGCGTGGTGGCTCACGCCTATAATCCCAGCACTTTGGGAGGCTGAGGTGGACGCATGGCTTGAGCTCAGGAGTTCGAGACCAGCCTGGCCAACATGGCGAAACCCCATCTCTACAAAAAATATAAAAATTAGCTGGGTACGGTGGCGGGCTCCTGTAATCCCAGATACTTGGGAGGTTGAAGCAGGAGGATCATTTGAGCTCAAGAGGCAGAGGTTGCAGTGAGCCAAGATCGCACCATTGCACTCCAGCCTGGTTGATGGGAGTGAAACCCTGACTCAAAGAAAAAAAAAAAAAAGGCATAAGACTTTGAGTGGACCATGACTGTCCAGTCCAATCTTTTAGCTTCCCTGGGCCACACTGGAAGAAGAAGAATTGTCTTGGGCCATATATAAAATACACTAACACTAATGACAGCTGATAAGCTAAGAAAAAAATCGCAAATAAATCTCGTAATGTTTTAAGAAGTTTATAAATTTGTGTTGGGCTGCGTTCAAAATCATCTTGGGCGACATGTGGCCCACGCATGGGCTATGGGTTGGACAAACTTAGTGTAGACCTAATGGCTGTGTGCCTCAGTTTACCTCATGTGTGAAATGAGGAAGTTGAAGTATGTGATTATTGATGTCCCCACCTGTTCTAAAAACATGAGCTTCTGTGACCTGTTTGTTTTTGTAATTCTAATATGGGTGGAAAGTACAAATATTTATTAAAGGAGCCTTAATTACCAAATGCAAATCCAGAGAAGTGGATAACACTGAGGCTTTCACAATTTTTTGAAGGAGATATAAGTTCTTTACTTTCCCAAGTAAAGCTTCATTTTCCATTGCATTTCCCTGTCTGTCATCAGAAAAGGGTGTCTGTTCTTGGATAATTCACAGTGGAGCTGAGATCCCTTGAGGGTCTGGCAGGCTTTAATTTTGGATACATTGTTGTAAAATATTTGTCAGTAGCCAACTTCAGGTTCCCAACCCAAATATAAATCCCTCCTTATTCAGTAGATGAGTATGTCATACAAACTGTTCTAAATTATACCTGGTACTATTGAATAGTATCAGGATGATATTGAGCAACTCTGAAAATAAGAAATAAGATGCTCTTATGGCCTGATTACTTAAGAATGTGCTATACTTAAATAAACTGTTACTGAATCATTTTAGACCCAATAAAGACAAAACTGGCCACACAAGTGACTCAGGAGCATCTGTTATCAAGCATGGACTCAATCCGGAGAAGATCTTCATGCAGGTGCATTATTTAAAGGTAAGCACCTCTCAGTTGCAGAAGCCAGTTGTGGTGCAGCGCTGTTTAGGCTATCCAGTTAAACAATAATGATGAGTGACATGACCGAGGCGAAAATACTGTAATGATATCTGAGGGTTCAGTAATTAAAGCACTTCATGCCCCCAAAAGGAGACCGTGTTAGGAAAGACTGAATGAAAAAAGGCTGAAATATTCCCTGCCCTGTACCTCTGTTCTCCCTGCCTGAGGAGCAGAACTCTCACATTGCTGTCAGGTTCCAGCTGAAAGCCATGGGTGAGAAGAAAGTGTTTTTTGTTGTAAAGGCCTTTCCTGGTAGCTGGAGTAGAGAAGAGCCGGGTCTCTCGTCTCTTTTCGTCTGCGTTGGACAACGAGGCTTCATGTGAACCAAGTCCAAGCAGAAATGATGACAACATTAACAAAGGAGTTGAGAGCTAATTAATTTCCAAGCCAAGCCTTCCTGGTGAAAATGGAAAGGGCAGCCAGGGACGGGTAGGACAGCACATTCTAGATGCACAAGTGACTGTGGGTTGGGTAGGGCTGACTATGTAACCATTTTTTTACGAACTCATGGCAGGCCTCTTTTTCTGTCTCTTCTTTCTTTCTTTCTTCCAGGGCTACTTCCTTCTTCGGTTTCTTGCCGAAAGACTTGGAGATGAAACCTATTTTTCATTTTTAAGAAAATTTGTGCACGCATTTCATGGACAGCTGATTCTTTCCCAGGTAATTTGTGGATCCTCATGAGTCCGTGATGTATGATTGGAGGGGGTATGGCACGTGAAGATTAGATTATGCCAGTATTAAAGAGTAGGGAAAAGATTTCCCACTTAATGCAGTGGGAAAAATAGGAAGTTAATGAAATGGACACAAAGAAAGTGGTTGCTTTAGGGAGGGTGATCTCTCTGTAGTTTTGAAATAAACTGTAACCCAAAGCTGTCTCGTACACAGTGATGTGGATAGTTTAAGTGACCTTAAACACAAACATAAAACAATCCTGCCATCCCCTTTACCTGGACTTACCTTTGGAAGATTTGCCACCTTCTTACCTTCTGGTTTCAGTTTGAATGCCACAGCCTCCAAGTCAGCCGGCTAAACAGATCTGCATCCAGGCCCACGCGTGCCACCCCTTTGCCTTTCCATGGCCCTCATTGTCATCGCCATTGTCTGTAATGATATTTTCATTAGGGGGCTATTTGTTTCTTTTCTCTCTCCTCCACTCTACGTATATTCCCAACAAGGCCAGACCATTCTGTTTCACCAGTACTTAGCACGTGATTGGCACACAGTAGGTACTCCATAAATATCTGATCAATAGATTAATAACAAGATACACTGAAATACGCAGACAGCCTGGCCACAAAACTATCCCAGAGAGACCCTGTCAGCTCATCTGGGTTTGGGGCCAAGCAGCACGTAGCAAGGAAGTTAACAAGGAGTGGCAGGCTCTGAAAAACGACGCTCATAACTAATAGAAAATAGGTGATGCATCCTCAGCATAGGTTGGACTAGTGGAGCTTTTTCATGTTTGATCATTGTGCTCATATACAGCTGCGAGTCCCGTTATCTGCACCGTTAGATGTAAAGGATGTGCACGTGTAATCTGAACACAGGTGGAAGAATCACATGAGTGTAGCAAGACCGACGGCTGTTCCTCTGTGTTCTTTTTATTCTTGTACTGGGTGTGGGGAAAATCCTCCCAAGCATGTATTTGGAAAGGCGATTCGAAAAACTGGTTCAAAGTCTTACGTGCTTGGTTGACAGATTAGTACAAATTCCTGCTGCTTGAAGCCACTTCTCACCAAGAGGCTGCAGTGTCGAATACGTGCGTTGTATTTACCTTGGCTTTGGAGGTTTTGATTTTCACTTCCCATGGAACTCGTACTGCTCTCTGAACCAAACCGTTCAGTTCTTCATTTGCTTCTCTCTTTTTTTGTTGGTTGTTGTTGTTGGAGACAGATTCTCACTCTGTCGCCCAGGCTGGAGCGCAGCGGTGTGATCTCAGCTCACTGCAACCGCCACCTCCTGGATTCAAGCGATTCTCCCGCCTCAGCCTCCCGAGTAGCTGGGATGACAGGCGCCGCCACCACGCCCAGCTAATTTTTGTGTTTCTAGTAGAGATGGGGTTTCAGCATGTTGGCCAGGCTGGTCTCGAACTCCTGAACTCAGGTGATCTGCCCACCTCGGCCTCCCAAAGTCCTGGGATTACAGGTGTGAGCCACCAGACCCAGCCTGTTTATCTGTTTTGAACAGCTTCATTGTTTCTTCATAGCAACTTTATTGAGATAAAATTCACATACCATAAAGTTAACCCTTTGAAAGTCTACAAGTCAGTGGTCTTTGGTATGTTCACAAGACTGTTCAACCATCATCATTATCTAATTTTAGTACATATTCACCAAACCCAGAAGAAATCATTAGCTGTCATTTCCCCATTTCTACTCCCCCAGCCCTACATAACCACTAATCTGCTTTCTCTCTCTGTGGATTGGCCTGTTCTGGACATTTCACATAAAATAATCATATGCTTTGACCTTTTGTGCCTGGCTTTCTTAACATAATGTTTTCAAGGTTCATATAGCATGTATCAGTACTTCCTTTTTTTATTTTAATTTTCATTTAATTGTGATAAAATATACAAAACAAAATTTACCATTTTAGCCATTTTTAAGTTCACAGTTCAGTGGCATTAAGTACATTCATATTTTTGTGCAATCATTACCACCGTCCATCTCCCGTACTATTAATATTTCATCATGATAGCCGTCCATTCTTTCCTACCCCAGCCCCGGCAACCGCCATTCTGCTTTCTGTCTGTCTGAGTCTGACTCCTCTAGGTACCTCATGTAAGTGGAACCACACAGTATCTCTGCTTTTGTGTGTGGCTGACTTCACTTAGCACAGGGTCTTCAGGGGTCACCAGGTTGCACATGTACCAGAACTTCTTCCCTTCTTAAAGCTGAATGCTCCATTGCATGCATATACCACACTTTGTTCACCCGTTAATTCCTTCATGAACACTTGCATTTTTTTCATCTTTTGGCCATTGTGCATAATGCTGCTATGACCATTAGTGTATAAAATATCTGTTCAAGTCCCTGCTTTCAGTTATTTTCAGTATATACCCAGAAGTGGAATTGCTGGCTTATACAATAATTCTATGTTTAGCTTTTTGAAGAATTGCCATACTGTTTCCATATTGACTGGGCCAATTTACATTCCCACCAGAAATGCACAAGGCTTCCAGTTTCTTCACACACTTGCCAACACCTAATGCCCTCTGGATTTTTTTATTATTGCCATCTGAGTGGGTGTGAAATTATAGCTCATGATGGTTTTGATTTGCATTCTGTGATGGCTAATGATTTTGAGCATTTTTTATGTGCTTATGGGCCATTTCTTCTTTGGAGAAATGTTTGTTCAGATTATTTGCTGATTTTAAAATTTTGATTATTTGTCTCTTGTTCTTGAGTTTTCAGAGGACTTCATTTATTTTGGATGTAAGTCCTTTATCAGAGATACGATTTTCAAATATTTTGTTTTATTTTATGTTTTGTGTTTTTCCTCTCTTGATGGTGTCCTTTATAGCACAAAAGTTTTTAATTTTGATGAGTCCAATGTATCTGTTTTCTCTTTGGTTTATTGTGCTTTAAGTGTCATAACTAAGAAACTGGCTTAATTAAAGGTCACAAAGATTCACTCCTATGTTTTTTTTCTAAGAGTTTTATTGCATTAGCTCTTATATTTAGTTTTCTGATCTGTTTTGAATTATTTATTTATTTATTTATTTTGAGACAGAGTCTCGCTCTGTCACCCAGGCTGGAGTGCAGTGGCGCGATCTCGGCTCACTGCAAGCTCCGCCTCCTGGATTCACGCTGTTCTCCTGCCTCAGCCTCCCGAGTAGCTGGGACCACAGGCGCCGCCACCACGCCCGGCTAGTTTTTTATATTTTTAGTAGAGACGGGGTTTCACCGTGTTAGCCAAGATGGTCTCGATCTCCCGACCTCGTGATCCGCTCGCCTCGGCCTCCCAAAATGCTGGGATTACGGGCTTGATGAATTAATTTTTATATATGTTGTGAGGATTACAGTCCAACTCCTTTTTTTTGCATGCGAATATCCAGTTGTCCCATAAACCATTTGTTAAAAAGACTGTTCTTTCCCTCCATTGAATTGCCTTGTACCCTTGCCAAAAATTAGTTGACCATTAATGTAAGCATTTACTTCTAGACTCCCAATTCGATTCCATTAATCATTATTTCTATTCTTGTGCTAGTATCATATTGTCTTGATTACTGTAGCTTTGTATTAAGTTTGGAAATTATTGCTTTTCCAACTGGCATATACTCATTATAAAAAATTATAAGCAATGCAGAAAAATACAAAGAATGTGAAACATTACTCAAAATCCCACCACCCAGAAATACCTATAATTAATATTGTGTGAATGACATTCCAGAAATCATACTAGTTATCCCTCAATGTTTATATGTTATACATGATGTATATACATGTATCTGTGTATATATGTATATATGGTATATGCATGTATACAGACATTGATGTCACTGGACAGAAATAATTTTATAAAAATAGGAATATATTATATGTGCGTTTTAATGAAATGTTTTAAATTTTCTCTTACTTGAATTTAATGAATGAAAAAGCAACTAGAGATAACTTCCCAAACTTAAGATAAATGTAAGAAGGATTATTTTCTAAAAGAATTTTCTATGGTTAAGAAACATAATTATAAAAGAATTAGGAGGTTGAAATTATTTTTTCCGTTTACTTATATATTTCATTTTTAGAAAACATCAGTTTATTCACTACTGTAAAAGATGAGGAATTGGCCGGGCACGATGGCTTATGCCTGTAATCCCAGGACTTTGGGAGGCCGAAGCAGATAGATCATGAGGTCAGGAGTTCGAGGCCAGCCTGGCTAACATGGTGAAACCCTGTCTCTATGAAAAATACAAAAATTAGCCAGGCGTGGTGGCGGGCGCCTGTAATCCCAGCGACTCAAGAGGCTGAGGCAGGAGAATAGCTTGAATCCAGGAGGTGGAGGCTGCAGAGAGGCAAGATCATGCCATTGCACTCCAACCTGGGACAGAACAAGACTCCATCTCAGGGAAAGGAAAAAAAAAAAAAAAAGATGAGGAATTACATAGTTATGTACTTTACTTTCCCCTTAATTCTAAATTTTTCTTAATTATTATTTTTATATATTAAGGTTTACTTTATTTACAAAATGTACTATGACCATAATTTTCACAGTTGTGTAATCTTGGCTTGTTAAAGGATTTCAGTATTTACCACCAGTTATTTTACCTTTTTTTCATGAATATTTTATTTTGATTGAGCTCTTTGCTGGCTGAATTTCATTATCAAATTTGTGTTCAAGTTGCAGACTCACAGGCTCTATGATTTCTGAGTTCTTACTGCCTAAGAATGCTTGCCTGTTGTCTTTATATTTGAATTATAAACTGACTGGACATAATATTCTTGGGTTATATTATCCTGCCCTCAAAACTTTTAGACATGGCTCAGCTGCTTTCTGGCATTGAATCCTGCTGTGGAAACTTTTGCAGTCAATCTGCTTTTTCCCCTTTATACCTCTTAAATGACAGAAGAATTTTTTCCCTGTCTTTGAAGTTTAGAAATTTTATCAGGAAATGGCTTGACGTCTATGGTTTTCTATCCTTTTTCCCCCTGGAAAAATAGTGT